CCCCAAAACCCCAAAACCCCAAAACCCCAAAACCCCAAAACCCCGTAAAAGCTTAGGGAAAATGACAGCTACAATATTTTAAAGAATAATGCGAAGCTGGTTCAAATTTTCTCCCGAACTAGAGAGAGCTATTGTAGGTGAGATAGACATGCTAAATGCTCCTGAAAATAGCGAATCATTCTTCAGTTGGATCAATCCAATAAATATCTTGAAGAAAATATGGAATGTGAATGTTACACTATCCCAACTAAAAAGCACAAGAAGTGAGTTAAAGAGAACTCAAAATAGATTAAATAACGAAGATTTTGATCATCAAAAAACAAAGGAAGAGCTTGAGAAGAAAGAGAAGGAACTTGAGGAGAAAAGGAAGGAACTTGAGGAGAAAAAGAAGGAACTTGAGAAGGCAAATGAGAAAATTAAGGAAATGGAAATAAGATTTCTGAGGATGGAGAAGAGACTTGAATGTCCAATCTCACTTGAAATGATGCAGGACCCAGTTATTGCTCCTTCTGGAATTACTTTTGATAGAAGAATTATTGAGGAGCATATTGATAGAAGTAGGGACGATCCATTGACTAAAGAACACCTCGATAGAGAGTCTCTGACCCCGAACCAACCTTGTCAAAGACCTCATTGATGACCACCACGAAGGGAATCAAGAAGACAGCAAAGAGAATGCTGAGTAGTCCTCTTGGCCTTCTCCGCTGACCGGCTTAGCAGTCGGCTTTTATGGAGATGAAGTTTCTTATTTGATTCAAATTTACTTACAGTTTACAATTCTATTTTGAAGGAGACTCAAGGGGTTTTGGGGTTTTGGGGTTTTGGGGTTTTGGGGTTTTGGCGGGTTTTAGGGGTTTTTTGGGCTGTTGGCTCATTTTTCTGCACTTGAGGTTGTGGTTGGGTTTAGTGTTTTGGGTCTTGTGAGCTGCTGTTCGTGTTCTGACAGATAATTGTGGCTTTTTAGGAATTTTTAATTTCTTAATATATTCTCGAGGGTTTCTCACTCAATTTAGATCTTTCGAAAGTGTTTGGTTAGTAATTAGACTCTGTGTATTAAGCTTTCTTTTAGATGTATAATTTCAATTTAGCTTCTTCAGATCCATTACCTTCAAATTAGGTTTTAATTTCAGAGCTTTGAACAAATTCTGTCCATTTTTCTACAGAATAATTATACAGTTTACTTTTGATTTATCGAAATAATTCTTAATTCCATTCTTTTGTCTGTTAACATAATATTCTAACTCTTTGCTAAACTTGGTGTCTAAAACATAAAACCTAGCTTACCTTTAAGGATGGGTTCTTTATTTAGGCCTAAAGGTTATTACGCTTTCTTACTTAGGTTTTTCCTTCTCTATTTTATCTCAGAAGGGCTCTATGATTTTCTTTACACTTTTGAGTAAATATTCCTTGATATTGAAACCTTCGACTGGGTCAAACTTTGGCTTATATTTATTTTGGTAATAGGCTACTCGAGCATTCCTTAGGGATCACATTCTTCCTAGTCACTATTGATCATGAGGAGATCTCACCTGATTTCATGAAAGGAGTTTGAAGGTGATCCAACTTTCCCAAAGAAAAAATATTTCTTAGCCTTTTATTAGTATCAAGAGGACTATGTTCTTTAGAGTCTTTATTTAAAATCCATCTTGGTAACATTATTAGGTACCTAATTTGCTTGATAATAGTACCTTTCTCAAATGGCTTGACTCTAAGAACTGAGATGCCTTAGAACTTGGTGTTTGCACCAATTTAAAATTGAGAGGCAAGAATTCTTGATTAAACATAGATTTTCTAGGCTATTATATTTATATTAGTACCTATGCTTATTTTTGATTAACAGTATTATCAATTTTGGTTTGAGCTTTGCTGTCTCTTTCAATGAAATTGAAATCATAAACTTCATCATCACTTTCACTACTGGTTGAACTCATTCTGAATTTTATCTTAATAATTCTATAATTGTTTTACTATAAGGGGTTTTGGGGTTTTGGGGTTTTGGGG